TTTATAAGTTTTTCTACATAAGCTTAATATCAGGTACAGTGATGGAAAACTAGAATTTGGTATAATGTATTAAAATAACAAGGTTTTCCTGGAGTATTGATCTGTTCTTAATAGGAAATTATGAGAGCAGTTTATTTTATCTTGTACTTTTCATGAAATTGGCTTAGGAAGCAAAGATTCTGTGCTTTACCAAGATCATTTCTTTGTGGTCTTTATTAGGGTTTTGGTCACTTGGGAAACTGAGTCCTTTCTGTGAAAGGGCCGAGGTTTTTCTACAATGTGTCACTTTCTGTGCTTGCCTTCTGGAGTGTTTGATTGTCAGTTTGTTTGAATGACCATTGTTCACGGTGATTTTATTTCCATCAGTATTTTAGCCTTTCATAAATTTTGACAAGCCTCCAAATCAAATTTTAGATTGCATCTTTTTGACACAGAACTAATTTGGGGATTTTCCATTTGGGCCCCCAGAAAGCTTTGAAGGGTGTGTCTTACTCTGTGGAAGAGAGAAGAACTAATCAGACTCCCCTGCCCCACCCATGCCCTGCACTGGGGGGTTGGACCTAGGGCCTTGGGCACACTGGACAAGGGCACTACTACCACTAAGTTGCATCCCTAGCCCACTCTCAACTCCCACCCCCTTTTTAAAAAATTTATTTTGAGACAGGGTTTCACAGGTGCCCAGGTTGGTCTCCAGCTCGAAATCCTCCTGCCTGGGTTGTGTGTGTGCCTCCATGCCTGGCCTAATGAGGCTTCCTTGACCTACTGAACGACACAGAGGAAATCGCCAAGTCCTCCTTGAGCTGCGTTTGCCTGAGTGTGTTACTAATGTGTCTCTGGAATTGTACAGATTCACAGAAAGCAAACAGTTCTAATGCCATCAATCATAGGTTTAGTCATTAGCTTCGAATGTGTGCAACAGAAATAACTGAATTTCCTCATCCACAGATGGTTAATTGTTTACTCAGGTACTTTCCAGAGCCTAAAGTGTTTTGTTTGCAAGGACATTCATGGAAAGGGCTCTGACAAATACAATTTGCAGATAACTTTAAGATTGTACCATGGGACTGGCTGAGAATTCCCAGAGTTTGTTCGTTCTTTCGTTCATTCCTTCCTTCTTATTTATCAGTCTGGGAATTGAATCCAGGGATGTTTCACCACTGAGCTACACCCAGTCTTTTTTTTTTTTTTTTTTTTTTTTTGAGACAGGGTCTGGATAAGTTGGATAAGTTGCTTATGGCCTTGATAAATTGCTGATCCTCAAACTTGTGATCCTCCTGCCTCAGCCTCTCAAATTTCTGGGATTACAGGCCTGCATCACTGCACCCAGAGGAATTCACAGAACTCTTATGAGGAAATTGATTGGCTCAAAAACCTGCTAACCCAACATCAAGCAGAACAAGAGTTAACTAAATACAAGGAAATGCTTTGGCAGGTTTTCCTGCTGTCAGCCTGAACTGAAATTCTTAGGGTGCGTACTTTGATGATCTCCATAAGACTGATCAAGACAACTCCCTAGGGGATCTGCTTAATAAAACATGGGAGGTACCCAAACTGCAGGGGAAAGTCTTGGTATGCAGGAAGATGTAAATCCACTGAGGGGCCATTGGAACATTCCAGGGCTTCCTTCAAGGCCACCCTCAGTGGGGTGCTTGCATGCGCTCGCTGCATGCTTTCTGGTTGGATGGGACCTTTCCCACACAGGAAAGCCAGGCTGGGACGGTCACATGTTAGAAGATGTATTTCCTTTATGTGGTTCTTGGAGAAACCTCGGGACAGAGGACCTTCTTTATTGGGTAGGTTATAAAGGTGGTAGATGAGGTGTTGTAAACATAAGGCACTACCACTGTCCTGATCATCTTCAGTCTTCTGGAAAGGTTGAAAAAGATGAATGGCATTTTAAGCCAGAAACCGGTAAAATGGTACATGCTTCCCAAGGAATATGGCTCAGCAACACAGAGGGTGAACTACCAGTCCAAGCTTGAATGAATTCCAGGGCTTTATTCTGAGTGGAAAAAATGTTGTCCCAAAAGACTACACACTGATTCCATCAATATGACTTAAAGATGACAAAGGGTTAGAAGAGCAGGTTCCATACTGGCTGGCAGGGATTAGGGGCTGAGCAGGAGGTGGAGTGTTTACACAGGGGTCCTGTGGGGCGGGAGCTGTGCAGATCTGAGCCTCCGCTGCCATCACGAACCTACTCCATGATACAATGGAGGAGAAGCTGAGACCCACATGCAAATGAGTACATGTAAAAACAGGGAGACCTGCAGGTGGTACCATTGGGGGACAGTGTACCGGGCTTCTCTCGGCCTTGTTTCTCCTCCTCCACCTCCTCCTCCTCCTTCTTCTTTTTTTTTCTTTTTGCAGTACTGAAAATCGAACCCAGGGTGCTCTACCACTGAGTTATATCCCCAGCACTTTTTATTTTTTACTTTGAGATAGGGTCTTAATAAGTTACCCAGGCTGGCCTCAAACTTGGAATTCTCCTGCCTCAGCCTCCAAGTAGCTGGAATTACAGGCTTACACCTCTATGGGAATCTCTGGTTATGTGAGAACTCCAGTTTAAGAGCAGGATGATAAGTCATTGCAAAAGTTTTCTGGCTGAAGACTGACTTTGGAGTTCTGAACCTTTAACCTACAGCCTGGTTTAAAAAAATTTTTAAATGATTAATTGATTAAGGGCCTGTCCAGTAGCTAGTCACCCCTGACCTTTAACCAAGAATTTCCTTTTCCAACACAAAGAAATGTTTAAGGAGATGAAAATTCTAATTACCCTGATTTCCTCATTCTATTGTATCAGGTATCAAATTATTCTACTGTACCTCGTAAATAGGTATATTATTATATGGCAGTAAAAAAACCTCCTTGATAAACTTGAAAAAAAAGTTTCCTAACACAGCATGATAACAAGGACAGAAAGGGAGCAGGGGGCAGTAATGGAGGCAGGGAAGGCTCCTGGGTGTGTGTGTACGTGTGTGTGCGTGCACACCGTGCTAGAGATGGGACCCGGGGCCTTGTGTGTGCTAGACAAACACCACTGAGCCACATCCCCAGCCTTTTTAAAAATTTTTATTTTGAGATAGGGTCTTGCCAGGTAGCCCAGGCCAGCCTTGAACTTGTGAGCCTCCTGCCTCAGCCTCCTGAGTAGTTGCCCTTGGCTTCCAGATGTCTATTTTTAAGTGTGTGGTACTAAGGACATTCACACTTTGTACTTCGGATCTCCAGAATTTTTCATCTTGCTGAATGAGACACTGTATCCATTATCAATGCCCCATGTCCCCTTCTCCTAGTGCCTGGTGACCCATCATTCTTTTTTTCTCTTTAGGAATCAGACTACTCTTGCTACCTCAAATAGGCAGAATCATATAGTATCTGTCCTTTTGTGACTGGCTGATTTCACTTAGCATAAAGACCACAAGCTTTCCTACATTGTAGCCTGTATTAGGTTTCCTATCTTTTTAAGGCTAAATAATATTCCATTATATATATGGACCACATTTTGTCTATCCATTCATCCATTGATGGGCACTTGGAGTATTGGTTCATTTTCCACTGCAACAACAAAATACCTGAATTAGATAATGTATAGAGAAAAGAGGTTTGTTCCACTCAAAATTTTGAAAGTTCTGTATCCTGGCTCTGGTAAGGGCCCCTTGACTGATGGTAGATGGCATCATGGTGGGAGTATATGGAAGAGGGAGAGATTATAAGTCAAGACAGGAAGCCAGAAAGGAAGGAGGGGCTATCCTTTCTACTCTTACAGCCCACCCTGATACAAACTACCTGGAGTCCCAGGAGAACTACATTAATCCATTCTAAGGACAGGGCCCAAAATGACCTGGTCACCTCCCCCTACCTGCACCTCTTAAAGGTCCACCACCTCCCAACATCATCACCACACTGGGGGACACACCAGAACCACACCAGTCCCCAGCCCCGGCAGCCCTCGCATCCTGGCTACATGAGCATTGTACAGAGAGCTCAGCCCCTGCTTCTGGCTCCTTCGAATGTGCACAGGTGGGGGTGGGGGTGGGGGTGGACTGAACTGAGAAATACTCCTGAACCCAGCCTGGGGCTGCGGAAACCTCCTAGGTCTTTATCAGAGGCTACACTGTGGGAGCGCCCAGGGCCTGTGGAGAACAGGCTCACACCTGGGGTCCTTCTACACATTCAAGGGAACAGGGGTCAACCTCCTGGGCAACTGCCCGCTCGCCATTCTGAAAGACCCGGCCCACCCCTGGCTGGCCAGGCGTGAATGCCACACACTGGCAGTCCTGCCCAGCCCACCTGCACAATCTGGAGCTACGACTAGAAGCCCAAATACATGGGGTCCTTCCCAGTACTGCCCTTTCCCACAGCACGGTCACTGTGGGACCTATTGCTGGGCCCACCCACATGTCAAGGCTGTGATGAGAGGCCAAGTGGGTGGCAGGGCAGCTGAGCCACCCTACATCCCTCTTTCCCCTGTCTATGGGGCTGGTGGCATCAGGAAGCCAAACCCAGGTCTCTGGCCCAAGCTGTGTGCTTCTAACCCCAGCTCCCATCAGCACCCAGCTCCCGCCAGAGCCTGCTGGGTCAAGCTCTGTTCTAGAGCCTGACCCAGCAGGCTCCCAGGAAATACTGGAAAAAATAAGGTGAAGGAAGGACTATGGTCCTCCACAAGAGAGGGGGGTGACCTCAGCAGGACACTGTGAAAGCTCTGCACCCAGAGGGCGTCTGCCCCACTCACCTGCCTCCCCTGCTGGGTCCATCACAGGAGCCACCTCCATCTGGATGCCTATGCCAGGCAGGCTCAGCCACACCCTCCACCACCCACCGGCCAGCAAGCCTTCAGTTCACAGGGCAGGGCAGGGCCGGGATGGCTAGCTGGAGCAAGGGGAGGGACATGGAACCTTTACAGCCAGGAACAAAGTCTTCCCCTATTTAAGCCCAAGCATCCTGCGCTGCAGCTGGTACCCTGGTGTCCCAGCCTGGCCACCGACCACTAGACCGCAGACATGCAGGGAGCCCAGGTGCTGCTGCTGCTGCTGCTGGGCCTGAGGCTACAGCTGGCCCATGGTGTCATCCCAGGTACGAGGTTCCCCCAGCCCCTCTCCCTGCCCCACAGGCCAGCCCCCAGGCTGACCTAGCTGCACTCTCCCCTTGGCCAGTGGAGGAGGAGAATCCAGCCTTCTGGAACCAGAAAGCCGCCGAGGCCCTGGACGCCGCCAAGAAGCTGAAGCCCATTCAGACCTCAGCCAAGAACCTCATCATCTTCCTGGGAGACGGTGAGTGCCCCATGCTGGTCCACCCCGTGGTGCTCACGGGCCTTGAACCCAGGGCCACTGCTGGGTCCAGACCAGCCCTGGGGCTCAGGCCTGACGGGGATCTGCTCCTTCAGGGATGGGCGTGCCCACGGTGACAGCCACCCGGATCCTAAAGGGACAGATGCAAGGCAAGCTGGGGCCTGAGACACCCCTGGCCATGGACCACTTCCCATATATGGCTCTGTCCAAGGTGAGGCCTCCTGAGCAGGGGGCTGGGAGCTGTGGCAGGGGAAGGACCCAGGAGAGATGGACCTGTCCTCCCTGTCCTAGGCCTGGGTGAAGGACTAAATGTCTGCCCCAGAGCAGAGCTGAGGGTATCTCTGTCCCCAGACATACAGTGTGGACAGACAGGTGCCAGACAGCGCCAGCACAGCCACGGCCTACCTGTGTGGGGTCAAGGCCAACTACAAGACCATTGGCTTGAGCGCGGCCGCCCGCTTTGACCAGTGCAACACAACACGAGGCAATGAGGTCATCTCTGTGATGTACCGGGCCAAGAAAGCAGGTGGGCTTGGGCCTGGGCTTGGGGTCAGGGCAGGCCTGGAGCTCTAGGTGGCCCACCCTGACCCCTGCCGCCTTCAGGGAAGTCCGTGGGAGTGGTGACCACCACCAGGGTGCAGCATGCCTCGCCAGCTGGCACATATGCACACACGGTGAACCGCAACTGGTACTCAGATGCAGACATGCCAGCCTCGGCGCTGCAGGAGGGCTGCCAGGACATCGCCACACAGCTCGTCTCCAACATGGACATTAATGTGCAGCACAAAGGGCAATGGGAGGGGGCTGGCTGGAGGAGTGGGTTTTGAAAGGCCACAGCCCCAAGCAACCAATAGCCTGAGTTCTGGGGCCTGTTAGGGTCTCTGGGAAGGTGGGCAAACAAGCGGGGGCAGTACTGACCTGGTGGGGCAGCGGGGGCTGTCTGTAAGCTAGAAAGAAGGGGTTCTTTTTGCCCCAAGTTCAACTGCCCTTATGCTCTGGCAACAGGTGATCTTGGGCGGGGGCCGCAGATACATGTTTCCTAAGGGGACCCCAGACCCTGAGTATCCAGGTGATGTCAACCAGACTGGAGTCAGGCTGGATGGCCGGGACCTCGTGCAGGAGTGGCTGCAAAAGCACCAGGTGACGGGACTCACAGAGGCACAGTCATAGCAGGGACCAGGGTGGGGCTGCAGGTCTCAGACTAAACACTGGCTCTGTCCCTCCAGGGGGCGCGATATGTGTGGAACCACCAGCAGCTCATTGAAGCGTCCCAGGACCCAGCCGTGACATATCTCATGGGTGATGACCCCACTCCTGACCTCAGTGGCCTCAGAAAGCTGCTATTGGAGCATGTGTGCAGGTGGCCATGACCCCCTCCCAAGTCAGTAATCACTGGGTCCTTTGTCCCTTAGGCCTCTTTGAGCCTGTAGACACAAAATTTGAGATCTACCGAAACCAGGTTCTGGACCCCTCCCTGATGGAGATGACGGAAGCAGCCATTCGGGTGCTGAGCAGGAACCCCCGCGGCTTCTACCTCTTTGTGGAGGGTAAGTCTGGGAGCCAGAGGAGCAGAGGCGGAGGGGGACAGGGACAGGACCAAGCTTCACGCCCCTCCTACTGGCTCCCCGCAGGGGGCCGCATCGACCGTGGTCATCACGAGGGCACAGCTTATGTGGCTCTGACGGAGGCGGTCATGTTCGACTCTGCCATCGACAAGGCCGGCCAGCTCACCAGCGACCAGGACACGCTGACCCTGGTCACCGCCGACCACTCCCACGTCTTCTCCTTTGGCGGCTACACGCTGCGGGGCAGCTCCATCTTCGGTAGGCGGGGACCGCGACAGGGGCTGTTGCTGCGGTGCTGAGGCGGGGGTCGCATCTCATCTGTCAACCGGGCGCACTGAGGGCGCCTGCCTCGCAGGGTTCTTGGGAGGAGTAAGCTGGTGACAAGGCGAAAGGCGCCTGTGCGGCACACGGGGGTCCCCGGGGAGGGCGATGCGAGCTCAGGTGCCACCTGTCCCCGCAGGGCTGGCCCCGCTCAAGGCCCAGGACGGCAAGTCTTACACGTCCATCCTGTATGGCAATGGCCCCGGCTACGTGCTGAACTCTGGCGACCGACCCAACGTCACGGAGGAGGAGAGCGGTGAGTGCGGCCATTGAAAGGTCGTCTTCTTGGGGACAGGGGTGGAGGGGAATTCTCCCGCCCTGAACTCCTCTTCCCTCCAGGTGCCCGCACCTACAAGCAGCAGGCGGCTGTGCCTCTGTCGTCGGAGACGCACGGAGGCGAGGACGTGGCGGTGTTGGCGCGCGGCCCGCAGGCGCACCTGGTGCACGGGGTGCAGGAGCAGAACTACATCGCGCACGTCATGGCCTTCGCTGCCTGCGTGGAGCCCTATGAGGCCTGCGACCTGGCCTCCCCGACCCTCCAGAGCATCACTGTGGGTCCAGGCTCTCAGCTGACATCGGCAGCCCGTCAGAGCATCCCTGCGGGTTCCAGCTCTGCCGCTGCCCCACTGTCGCTGACGCTGCTGCTTGGGACGCTGCTATTGCTGCTGGGGGCAGTCGCCCAGCCCTGACCACGCAGCCCCACCGGGATCACCCCAGGATCCCCGCAGTTGGTTCTCATTCCCCCGCCCAGTGCTCCCTAGGCCGGACTGCCTCCTTCCCCATGGGTCTCCACCCCAGGGTCCCCATCACTGGTCCCGGAGGCCCCACGTGGAGGGCCTCAACCTTAGCCCTCACCCTGGGCTGCCACCTCCAGAGTACCCACTCGGACTTCTACCAAGGTATAGCCATCTCTGCGAGATGAACCAGCCTCAGACCTGGAAGAGCTTTCCTTTTTCACTTTGTGGACACTGGATGGATGTGCCGCAGAGGCGCCCTTGTGACTGAGCCTATGACACTCGCACTTTCTTGGGGCTGCTCTCTGATTCCCTTTTAGAACCTCAGCTGCCCACACCTTTGGAAAAAAAAAAAAAGCGGGCTCACAGAAGGACTCTCCACCACACCTACTAGCCTCGGGGACGACCAAGATGACAGCACTCCAGAGTGGTCCCCCACAGAGCCACATCCAGAAACCCCTGGGGTACCCTAGGACTCAGGAATGTGAGGAACCCCAGAGAGGCTGACTTTCCTCCACCTTCCCACTGACCCTGCCACTAATTCTGCAGGCCAAGGAGGCTGCTAGGGCCAATCCCCACTGGGCTGTGACACAGTGCTCAGCTGTCCCTCTCTGCCCCTCTCTTCACCCCAGAGGCCCAGTGGTGCCATTACACATACTAAAGAGGTGCCCCAAGATACTCAGCAACTCCATGCTGGCCTCCCAATGCCCATTCCAGGCCAGAAAATTCAAGAACCCTCCCCCAGACATAAAACTGGCAGGGATGGAGGGGCAGCCCAGAGCAACCCTGGGCCCCTCCCCGGACCATTTCAGGCTGCTCACAGATTTCTGAACAAAGAAGACTCCCTGCCCTTCTGGGGTCCCTATTCTCTTGAGAGAGACAAACCAATAATAAAATAAGCTGTTGTACAATATGATGTTGAAAAACCTTGAGCATATAGGGCCCAGAGTGCTTACAGACAGCTGCGTGATCAAGATTAGGAGGCCAGGGAGAGGCTGCCTGAAGAGCAGACAGTGAGCAAGAGACAAAGTGAGGGCCTGAGCAGTGCAGAACAGCAGTGGGGGTTGGGGGCAAGGAAGTAGCCTGAGGGGTAGGAGGCGGGAGGGATAGGGAAGGAGCTTGAACTCTAGACCTGTAAGACCTGGCTTAGAACATAGTGGTCGAGCTGCTTCCAGAGAAGGTCTAGTCTTTTTTTCTCTTTCCTTTTTTAGTGGGGTGGAGCAGAGGTGGAAACTGGGCAAGCAGAGGGGAGGTATGGACTTCTAGTATTTTTTAACTGCATCCCCCAAAACATTCTAGAGTACACAACCAAATAGGCAGGTCTTGCCTACCCTAGTGAGAACATTTGAAAAAATTATATGAAGATGAAATCAACCATGTGTTTTAATAAATTTTGCAATATTATAAATCTATTTGTACATTTACAAAAACTCCAAAAAGCACTTTGCTCCCATTAGAAATATTAATATGATCGAATATGCCTCCTTATTTACTAAAATCTTGATTTAACACTGTAAAGCATCAATTTGATAGCTTGGCTCTCAGGGCCGTTTATTTCAATTCTGAATTTTAGTGGCTGTCACAAAAACTATGGGAGCTGAAAGGAAGAAGGGCATCTTCAGCTTAATTTACAAAAATCATCATTTTTGTTTCTAAATTCCATCCACCAATTATGTGAAAGCTTTTGTTAAAATCCAGTTAGTATATTTTTGTCTTCCCTGATGTCAATTAGTTGGTCTTTCAACACAGTGGGAAGGTGTTACATATTCATGTTTTACAAATATTTTTAAACCCAAGGACCTTTTCATTTGAAAACTACTTTTTTTTTGCAGTGCTAGAGATGTACCCAAGGCCTCAGGTATGCTAGGCAAGCACTCTACCACTGAACTACATTCCCAGCTCAAACTACAAGTTTGTTTTTTTTTTTTATATATACATATTTTTCGTTGTTGACAGACCATTTATTTATTTATTTATATGCGGTGCTGAGAATCAAACCCAGTACCTCACACATGTTAGGCAAGTGCGCTACTGCTGAGCCACAGCCCCAGCCCCACAAACTGCAAGTTTTAAAAACAGTTTGTTCTGAAATTAGATGGTGGTGATAAGTTGCACAACATTGTGAATGTCCTAAAACCCACTAAATTGTGCACTTTACAAGGGTTAATTTTACATTATGTAGATTATACCTAAATTTTAAAAAACAGATTAGGTTGGATAGTTTCTGCTTCTAGGTTTCAAGATGTGGGTATGAGTAGGTTTTACCAGTCAAGTACATTCGGTGACCACAGAATCATGTGCTGAGGAAAACACTTTTCAAACCAGGTGCGGTGGTGCATGTCTGGCAAATCGGGAAGCCGAGGCAGGAGAATCAAAAGTTTGAGGCCAGCCTGGGCAGCCTGACAAGATCCTGTCTCAAAATAAAAATTAAAAGGGGCTGGGTCCATAGGAGAGTGGTAGAGCTCCCCTGGTTCAAGCCCAGCACTGCAAAACAAAACGATATTTTAAAAAATGTTCTTTCTTTAGCATAACAAGATAATTACCTTCTTACTTTTTCATTAAAAGGATATTCTTATCTAGATGGGGCCAGGGCAGCAAAAGTGCACTTATTTTTTTCAAGCTTTTTACTGAGTACCTAAAACTAAGTTCATATCACCTCAAAAAATACCAGCACACTCATTCTGAAGAAAGAGCCAGGTGTGGCGGTGCACCTATAGTCCCAGGTTCCCAGGAGGCTGAGGCAAGAGGATCTGTTGAGCACAGGAGTTCCAAGAAAGAGGGAGGAAAGTTAGGCACAAAAACAGGGACTCAGAACAACTCCAGTCAGTACATTTTTTTTTTTTAAATAGAGAGAGAGAGAGAATTTTTTTTTTAATTTTTAATATTTTTAAAATTTTTTTTAGTTTTCGGCGGACACAACATCTTCGTTTGTATGTGGTGCTGAGGATCGAACCCGGGCCGCACGCATGCCAGGCGAGCGCGCTACCGCTTGAGCCACATCCCCAGCCCCGAGAGAGAATTTTTTAATATTTATTTTTCAGTTCTCGGCAGACACAACATCTTTGTTGGAATGTGGTGCTGAGGATCGAACCCGGGCCGCACGCATGCCAGGCAAGCGCGCTACCACTTGAGCCACATCCTCAGCCCCATCCTGTCAGTACTTTTAAACGTTCATCTTTAGGAGCCATAAAGAAGACTCATCATTTGTTTTCTGGAACGTTCTCATGGTCACCCCATTCTCATTACCAAAGATTTTACTCTAATAGGACAATCTTGGTTTTATAAAATTCACCCCACTGATGGCCTCCGATAGAGTTTGATGTACCTTTGAAGCTTCCACTTCCATCCTATCACGGTTTGATTGTAGATGAGTAGGTGGGTAGGTTAGTAGTTGGGTGGGTTAGTAGGTGGGTGGGTTTTGTAGGCAGTGCTACCTGTGGACCCTTATTGACATCCAGAATTCTTAAAAAAAAAAAAATCTTTTCCAAGTAGTTCTTCCACCAGTGGATCCACTTTTACTGTTTCCCCCACATGACACTGTTTTTATTAAACAAGGCATTTACTGTTGGCAATATATCTTCTCTGCTGTCTTTCCTTTAGCTGTGCTCACACACACACACACACACACACAAAGTGGTTTGTGTATTTCATTATTGGAACAGAATCCAGCAAATACCTTAAGCTGAAGCGTGTTAGAAACATCTGTACTTCCCTCCAACTGTATAGACAACCTCCCACACTGGGTAATTTGCTCTAATACTCATTTCTTCCAATCTATGGTGATGTTTTCTCCACATCTTCCAAGAGCATTTGCTGACAAGAAATGCCTTTTGGTTTGTCGACAGATCATTTACTGTTCATTGTTTCTGCCATTTTTACTGCAGCAGAAAGAAAAAGTGTTTGCCTAGTGGTAGGTGTTTTTTGTTTTATGCTATTATGCAAGAAACTTGAAAAGAGCTTTCCAAATATTTATCATTGCTTAGGGAAATATCAAAAAGCACTGGATTGAACAGCACATAACTTTAAACGTCGCCGGGAAAAGAATTGCGGGGGTTTGTATTCATGTTCTGAAAGCTGTTTTTAAATCCCTTGCAAACCATGAGTGTTCCATGCGGTTGTCGATGAATATCTCGGGGGACAAGGCACTAGGAAGGATGAGGAGGGGCTAGCTTCAGACAGTTTTGTTGTGTTTGTTTTCTTTCTTTGGGGCTAATGCCTTGTCCCATGTCACATGGGGATGCACCAGGCTTAGGGAACTTTCAGCCCAGCCACTTCTGGTTTGCCTGACTGTGGATTTTTGGTATTATTTGCAGTTTCTTTACAGGAATCTTTTGTAAGCCACTTGACCATACTGGAGGATTAGTTTGGTTAAAACTAGATCATATAATCCATAAATCCACTTAGGCAGGCACACTAAACTCTAATACGTCACAATCCACTCAGAGTGAGCAAATTCGCAGGAGGAGGCTTATTCTGTCAACCCCTGGCCTGAGGCACCACATTCTTTCCCTCTGGAACAGAATCATATGGGAAGGTGCCCAGCTGCCCAGCTGAAGACTGATGGGGCTCAGTGTTAAACACAAGGAGTGTTTATTCCCATCACAGGTACACACTGTGCAGGACTGTGCCAAAGTACGTGAAGGAGATGACCAGATGCCCAGCACAGGGCAGGCACATAGTAGGCACATGCCCCTCTAGCCAAACCCCTGGCCACCAGGAGGGTCCAGACATGCTGGGCCCTAGGCAGAACTCTTAGACCCTGTAACCGTGGGTGCCTTGCTCCCTGCAGAGCCCAGCCCAGGCTGGAGTCCCAGAGGACACCACAGGTTCCCAAGCAGACCTGGAGCCCACTGCTCATGCCCCCTGCAGCTCTGGTGGCCTGCACAGAGTGATGATAGGGAGAGACAGGCATGCTCCCCACAGCCTCTCAGGAGGGCTCAGGCAGATAGCAGGTG